AAAAAAAAAAAAAAAAAGGAGAGAGAGGAGAGAAAAGGTCTGAAAAATCGAAATATTTCTCCAAGCACTAAATAGCCATCAGACAAAAGATGCGACACAGGGTCGAGGCGTGGGGTGCCCAGACGGGACGGCCGGCCTGAGCCCGCCCCGGGGGCGGTGATGGACACGGGTCGCACGGTCCCCGGTCCTCGTCCCCCGCCAGCCGGCCGCGCCTTTTGCCCCATCGTCCCCTGGAGAAGCGCTCGGGGCACCGGCCACCCTCCACCACCGGTCGCTGCGAGTCACCTCCGGCGGCTGACACGCGTCCCCAGCACAATCCTGCGCCCATGGCTCCTGCTAACACGGGGCGATTTCCCCTGCAGCTCGGTCCCTCGTCCCCCAGCCTACCCCTAGAAAGGGCCGCACGCTGTACCCAAGGCAGTCTCCCAGCGTGCGGGACAATCTGCAGCCTCCAGACGTCCCCGCAGCCCCGGGGGCACCGGGACCTGGCACCTGCTGTGCCCCGGGAAGCCCGGACTGTGACAGCTGCGTCCCCTGTCCAACGGGCTGAACACCACACATTGAAGGGGGTGCCCCTCATCCCTRCCGGGGCCGGGATGCAGGGAAGGAGGCGGGTGCGGATCCAGTACCCTCCTCCTCCTCCGGAATCGGCCACGGGAAAGAGCCCCTGTTGCGGCCACTCGCTGCTCTGGGACTGCCCGTGCATCGGGCACAAAGTGATGGTCAGTGGGAAACGCGGGGCCGGCTGGGACGCCCGGGGTGGCTTCCGAGCTCCGGGTTCCTTTTCCCGGGGCCTCCCCGACCCCTCGGAGCCCAGACAAAATCGAAGCGTCTCCTGAAAACGATCTTGCGGCTCGGTGTCCCCCTCTTCATCCCGAGAAGCGGCGTGCACTGGGGTCTTGTGCGGCTGCGAGGCTCAACCCCGGCCCSGGTGGTTTGTGCGGGTGGTGCCCGGTGCGTGTTGGGGTTCCCCGGGCGGGAGCGGCTGTTTGGGACCATCTGCCAACCTGTGTGGGGTATTRTGTGTGTAGCTCTGCGGTGCCACCAGTCCGCTTCTGCCATGTGCGGTAGTGCCAGGCCTATGCACAGGTGTGTCTGTGCCTGCTGGAATTGTGYCCATATGTCTGTCCTGCTTGTCTGCTGTGCCAGTGTGTCCGGAGGCTTCGGTGAGGTCAGGGCAGGGAAAAAAAAGTGCAGGAGAAAAGGGAAAAAGGAGGGCACTGAGCAAAGGGTGARTGTCTGCGTGCGCCTGTGGATGAGCAGAGATGCTCCGGGTCTTCCSTCCCACGGAGTAGTGGCAAGGAGACAGGCCCAAAGTTGTCAGATATTTTGTTGYTTGTGTTGAACTCCGTTTCCTGCTCCATTTATTCCCCTTTCTCCCTTTCTTTTTTTCCCATTTTCCTCCCCTCTTTTCATTGTTTTTACTTTTCCCACCCTAAGGGCATGGCCAGGGAGGGACATCGCACCCTCATTGTGGTGGCCCCGGCCGCCCCTGGGGCACTGTCGCACCGCCTCCCGAGTGCGGAGCAGCCCCTCCCGGGGCTCTCACTACCAGGGAGCTGAGGCAGGGGCATTTCTCACAGCCGAGACCCTTCTCCACGGGGCTGGGAAAGGCTTTTTGAAAGGAGAACGTGTTTGCCTTGGCAGCGCTTCGTGCTGCAGTCTGACCTTTGGCTCACACGGCCGGGGCGGGGGTCCCCCCGGGGAAACGGGACCCTGGTAAGGAGAGACCCCTCGCCCCGCTCTTTCCCTTTTCTGTCCTTTTCTGTTTGCTTTAGATAAGCAGGTGTAATAACGCTGTTGACAGGCCCAGGATTTGGTGGCAGGGTGACTCCCTGACCCGCAGGTGTTTATTCTTTCCGACTCGTTAAAAAGCGGCCGGCGGCGCGTTTACGGCAAATATTTGCCGGGTGCGGGAACGGTGGAAAACCCTCACTGGACACACGGCGGAGCCACCGCGGCCGGGGGAAGCCGCGCAGTCCCACGGCTGGGAGGGCTGTGTTTGCGGAGGGCAGTCACTTGTCCCCATGGGCATCCCGGGCTGTCCCCGCACCCGGTGCCGCGGGAGAGGGTGTGAGGGGGCGGGCTCTCGGCGGTGACGGGTGGGCGGCTCGGCCAATGGCGAGCGAGGCCGCAGCGGCGCGGGGCCAATGGGAGCCGCCTGCGGCCCTTGAAGGGACGCGCCGCGGAGCGCGGCCGCACTGCCGCCCGCCGCCGCCGGGAGACGCGGCCGGCCCGGGGCAGCCGCACGGTCCCCCGCCCCCAGCCGCCTCCCGCCGGCGCTCCCATGGAAAAATCCAAAAATTTCCGCATCGACGCGCTGCTGGCTGTCGACCCCCCYAAGGCGGCGGCGGGGCAAAGCGCGCCGCTGGCCCTGGTCACCTCGCTGGGCGGCAGCGGCAGTAGCAGCAGCGGGAGCGGCAGCCCTCCGTCCTCATCCTCYTCTTCCTCGTCCTCTTCATCCTCCTCCGAGCACCCCGCCGGCGGCCCCGCCGACTGCCTGCGCACCGACAGCCCCTCTCCGCCGCGCCTCCTGGCCGCCCACTGCGCCCTGGTCCCCAAGCCCGGCTTCCTGCCCGGGGCGGGCACCGGCGCCCACCCGCACCACCACGCCTCGGCGGCCGGCATGGCCCTGGGACTGCACCCCGCGGCGCCCGGCGGGCCGGGCATGCCGGCGCAGGCGGCTCTCTACGGGCACCCGGTGTACGGGTACTCGGCGCTGGGCGGGCAGCACCCGGCGCTCTCCTACCCCTACTCGCAGGTGCAGGGAGCGCACCCCTCGCACCCCGCCGCCGACCCCATCAAGCTCAGCGCCGGCACCTTCCAGCTGGACCAGTGGCTGCGGGCCTCCACCGCGGGCATGATCCTGCCCAAGATGCCCGACTTCAACTGTGAGTATTCGCCTCCYTCCCCTCCGCAGCCGCGTCCCCTCCATCCCCTGTCCCGCTGCAGGGGCCTACCGGGAGCTGCCTTCTTCCGAGAGGGTGGAAGTCCCCTCCTGCCGCCGCCTAAACAAGCTGCAGAGTTAAACTGGAGGCGCCGCTTTTATTTTTTGAAGGATTTCTATTAGAATAAACAGTGCAATGGGAAACGGGGATGTGCGGTCACCACACCATTCCCGGCCCTTGAAGAGCCCCGGACAGCCCGGCCTCTCACTGCAGGTTAAACGGGAAGGTGACAAATTACTCCCTGCCTTTGCAAATGCCCTTTTCCGCCGCTCCCGGAGGGCAAAAGCCGCCAAGGAGGGGGGTTGGTGGGAGCAGGGCAGGGGCAGGAATCCTCATGGTGTCCCCAAAATCCCAGTCTCAATGTAAYCCTCCCCAAAGGCGAGGTGGCAGGTCATTTCACTCGCCCACCGTTCTTAGTTTTATTTCTCCTTTATCGGAAATGGGCGAATAATAATGATGTCAGCTCTCCTAGGTAAAGGGATGTAGGGAGGATCTGGGATCGGCCGAAAACTCGGGGTTCTGCGTTCCCGGCAGGCAACGAGTAGGAAAGAACAGTCGGAAGGGTTTAGGTTAGGGCCCAGGAAAGGCTGGGAGTGCTGAATGGAACCAGAAAAGCGGAGCTCTAGGCCTCGCGGCGATGGGGAACTTGGCGTGCATCTGGTTTAAGCAAAGATCATTTTCGGAGGTGTGAGCTCTCGGTGGGAATGGCCGRTTTAACAATACCGGAGGTGTAGTTTTACGAAAATCTTGCCAGGAAAAGAATTGCGATTTTTTTTTTCTCTCCCCTTCTACTCTGCACRCACATTCGCAGACAAAAAAGTCCATTGTTTTCTCCGAATTGGGGTTGTTTAGACTGGAACATTCAGGAAGAAAAAATAATTAGGAGAGTTGTCAGAGCCCTGCCGCTCAAACAAGGGGCAGAGGGGAATAAATAACCGGGCGAAACGAGCCTCGGAAAATCGCACCGCGGTGAGAAAATCACCCGGGCGCTGCGGCCGGGAGCGGACACTGTCCTTTTCTTTCTGCCTCTTTAGCGAACTGTCTCCAATCGCGGCCGRGAGCAGGAGCCGCCCTTTCCCAAGGTTTTTCATTTTTCTAAACCAAATAAGCCAAAGTATCAAAACACTTTGAGAAAGGGGTTGTAGCGCGGTCGAGTCTCGTGCCCAGGGGTGTCGGGGCCTTCGAAGAGGCTCAGTTCCCGCTTGCTCATGTCCGAGTCAAGTTTTTTGTTTTGGTTTTTGGATTTTTTTTTTGTCCTCTCTAATAAATCCTATATTTTAATTATTTGTTGAATGCAGAAAACACACTTTTTTTTTCCCCATTACAAAGACAGTTTTCTAGTTCTCGCTGCTGATTTACGCTCTGAGAGGTGGCCGGTGCTCTTGGATGGTGTGGAGCAGGCTCCGGTCTCGGTCCCGGTCCTAGTTCCGGGCCGCCGGAGGTGTGCCCGCCTGCAATCCCGCTAATTAAACGGATATGGGCGGGCTGGGAGTGCGGCAGGTTTAACTAAAACATTAAATGGAGCAAATTGCCGCTCCCCGGAGAGCCCGGTGCCCCTTCGCCGCCATCCCTGGCTTCGGTTTATTGTCTCGCGTTTGTTAGGCTCTTGGGAAATCAGGAGACGTATTTTCCTTTATTTAAAAGATTTAATTTAATTCCCTTTTTTTATTTTTTTTTTTGTCCCTGTGGGCGATCCCCTGACACTGTGGAAGCCGAGAAACCCTGGAGTCAGAGGGCCTGGGGGCTGGAGGAGATCCCTGCCTGTGTCTGTGCTCCGGTGGACAACTGTCCACCCTTGCTTCAGCCTCACACGCAGAGTCTTTCCTGCCTCCCCGCTTTCCACCGCCCTCCCGGGGGATGCGCGGCCGCGGCAGGGCGGCTCCGCGCTCACCTCCGCTCTCCCCCTTCTCCTTTCCCAGCCCAGGCGCAGTCCAACCTCCTGGGGAAGTGCCGCCGACCCCGCACGGCTTTCACCAGCCAGCAGCTGCTGGAGCTGGAGCACCAGTTCAAGCTCAACAAGTATCTCTCYCGGCCCAAGCGCTTCGAGGTGGCCACGTCGCTCATGCTGACCGAGACGCAGGTGAGTGACCCCGGCCCCGCGGCGAGGGGCGGGCGGGGGCGCKGCCCTGGCGGGCGGTGGGTGAGGTGATGTGTTTGTGTCCCGTCTCCTCCAGGTGAAGATCTGGTTCCAGAACCGGCGCATGAAGTGGAAGCGCAGCAAGAAGGCGAAGGAGCAGGCGGCGCAGGAGGCCGAGAAGCAGAAGGGGGGCAGCGGCGAGGACAAGGGCGATGAGGACCTGCTGCTGCCCGCCCCCGAGAAGAGCGGCGGGAGGAGGATGCGAGAGCTGCCCGACAGCGAACCTGAGGACGAAGAAGAGGAAGAGGAGGATGAGGAGGCGGCTGCGGCGGCCGGGAGGTGCTGCCCGTACCACTCCTCCGATTGCTCCGAGGCGGACGAGGAGGACACGCAGCCCCGGGGCCGGCACGGAGCCTCGGCGCAGCCCCAGTGAACCCCCCTGCACGCCTCGCTCCCTCCGGACTCCCGCTGCTCCTGGCTGGCACCGGTCCCGATCCCCCCTTGTTCTGATTTCTCCCTGCTTGGAGAGGGATGGAGAAGAGGATCCTCCGCATGCCGAGCAGGGAAGAGGATTTACCGTGAATACAGTGTTATTATTGACTGAGAAACAGACAAAACTTGAGCTCCCCCACCCCCCATCCCTGCCCCCTGGAAGCGCATTCCTTTCGCTGAGTATTGGAAATGTTTTGGTCTTAYTATATATCGGGAAAACTGTTTATGTCATGAACGTTAAAACTGCTGGAAATCTCAATACTGTCTTTATTTTTGTATATCGTATTTATAAAAAAAAAAAAAATTACCTCTACTTATGCATGCTAAATTATTCCCCAGGTCCTCCCACCCGTGCGATGGGGGGGAAAATAAACGGCGTTTTTTACTGGTAGTGTACGAGAGCTGTGTGAGGGGAGGATGCTGCGGGGCCAGGGCCTCCCGGTGCTCTGGGCGGTGCCAAAGCGCCCGGGAGGGAGCGGGAAAGCGCTTCCTAACCCGAATTTAACCCATCGCCACCTCTGTCGTGTAATGTCTGATAGAAAGCTGAGCATCCGAGGCGGGTTTTGGGGAGGCGGCTGGGTTCCTTGCCGTGCGATGCTTTTGGGAACTCCTGGAGCGGCGGGGGCCGAGGAAAAGRGGGAGCAGCCGAGGGTTCCGGGGGGGGGATCGACTTCCAAACGAGTGAGGAGCTCGAAGTATCGAAGACGGGACACCCCCACCCCCCCGGTGGAGGAGCGCGGGATTTTCGATAACTGCGCGATTTATCTCGCCAATAAATTTGCAGATCAATTAATCCCTGTCACTGCAGCTCTTCCCCAAATCAATTATAGGGAATTTAAATATAATCACTGGCTCATCCCCATCAGCTCGGGGCCACATCTGGTAATTCATCCCCGCGAATGAAGGACGGGGCGGCTCCGCTCCCGCGTGGGGCCGCGCAGCGGGGTGGAGGGACCTGGCTCCCCCCTGCCAAGTGCCACCGGCTCCTGGGACACTRATCCCCCTCATCACCCCTGAGCATGAGAATGAGGAGTTCTGACACACAGAGCTTTACCACTCCCGTGCACTTAAAAAAWWWTTTTTWAAAAAAATATTTTTAATAAAGGTATTTTCTACAAACTCGAGTTAACATTTCCTATGAGGCCAGAGTGTGSCCCCTCTTAACAGCTTCTGTAAAAATCCACCCCGTGGAATGCAGGCTGGCGGACGCATGAGATTATGGGATGAGATTCAGGAAGGAAAAGCGTTATCCCTCACGGAGTGCTTCAGGGGGCTCGGCTGGAGGTGACATCCAGGCATAGCGCGGGTGGTTACCCGCTCATCGGCCCCGCGTCCTCAGTGCCCCGGGCCGACACGCCAAAAATCACGATATATCATAAATCTGAATAGATCCCATATGTCAAAACMCTAAACTCGATTTGGGCTTGACCAACACCTACCCCATTACAGGGAAACGATTGCGTCGGGGGCTTTGATTTAAATTTGTAAACGATTTTCTTTCAGCCACAGGCTGTGGAGACTCTAAGGCGATAGAAAAATGAAGGTATTGGTATCTCTGGGGTTTTTCATGCCGCTGGCCGAGGATGCATCTTCGTGGGTGAACGGCCGTGCAAGACCCGCGCAGGGCCACACTGGATCCTCCACGATAATCTCAGCGACGCGTCGSAGTTACTGCCAGCAGGATTGAGGTCTTTAGACCTTAAAATGTCTAAACCGTGTAAGTCTGGAGGAGACATTATCTTAAAAAAAAAGCAATGCGTGAAATATAATGTATAGTGTATATAAAACCAATATTAATTATAGTAAACGATAATAATAACAACAATAATTTAAGAGATACCTGAGATCATCCCCCCCCCAACAAAAAAAAGATTCTCCCTCAGTCATTCATTTCCAATTAAACACCCAGTAATTAAGCTGGTAGACGTGCCCCACCGGGCCAGAAATATCCTGTATGCCCAAGAGGTGTGTGTCCAAACGTGTCTCAGCCCCATGAAAACCAGCCTTGCGGGTACAGGCATCTATTCACGGACTCGGTATCAAAGTCCTACCGGTGTATTGTGTCTGTCTCAATAAAATTAATCTCTTTAAAGCCCAGCGTCTCACAAGAATACCTTCAGTGTTCCAGACTACAAGGGCAAATATGTTTTTCAGATTCTGTTTTTATGGACGGATTAAAGTTTATTTTCCATAATAGGGCACCTAATAAAACTCATAAAGCTCTGTCAGTCTTACAGCTGGTGGCCTCATTTAACACTTTCACTTCGTAAATCATTTTACAACTTACCAGGTGTTTCCAAAACTGAAAGGAGAGGAGGGGGRAAGAGAGCAAGAGGGGGAAAGAGAAATTAAAGTCACTTAAAATATAGATACGGTCCTTTGGCGCTGGGTGCGTTTGCATTGTCGCTTGGAAGGGCTTCAAAGAAGGTGTCGGTCCCAACGGGGGAGAAAAGGCTTTTAATCAGGATTTCCCACGCTCTTTTGAAGTGCGGAGGCTCGTCCCCACGTGCAGGGCAATCAAAGGCTCAGGGTGATTAGCGGAGCCGGTAACGTGTGCGACACGCTCCGTGCTCCGCGCTCCGCGCCCGGCCCGGGGAGGCTCCGCGCCCGCCTCCGGAGCGCCCCGGGCGGGGAAGGTCTCTGCCGGGGCGCGGGGGGCAGCAGGGGGGGCATCAAAGGGGCCTCGATATCACCCCTGTGCCGGCTCAGGCAGTGGCTGCGGGAGGAGGGGACACGCTCTCTGGCTGAGTTCGCACCAGCGTCCCCCCGCACCCGCTCCGTGCTGGCTCCCCGCACCCAGCTCCTGCTGTCCCCCTAACCCAGCTCCTGCTGTCCCCCGCACCGAGCTCCTGCTGTCCCCCTTCACCCAGCACCGGGCTGTCCCCCCATCCAGCCCCATCCCCCCGACCCTCACCCGGCATCCCCCACCCTGTCTCAGGGGCCTCATGCTCCCAGCCTACCTCCTCTCACCCCAATTTCCCTGCGAGTGTGGGGCTTCTTTACACGCATTCCCAGGGTATCCCCAGCAAACCAGTTCTGGCGTGCCCCACTGGTGTTGGTGGGGTCGYGTTGCCTCAAGACCCAGCACAGGCAGGGCTTTAATCCAACCCCATCTGTAATTTCATTATTCGGTCTGTTCCCTCCCCCAGACACAGTAGGTTACAAACCTCTTAAAATTTTCATTGCTGTACTTGAGAAGTGGTAAGTATGAACACGGACCTTTGGTAGACATTTTACTTTTAAAAGCAACATGGTTTAGGCATGGATGTCATTAACTGGCAATTTCACAAGCATTAAGTGCTAAAACAAAAGAAACAAAACAGGATCCATATGTTCGAGGTAAACCTGCTAAAAGTCTTTCTAATGGGAAACCATAAATATATAATCTCCCTCAAACTCTCCGTGGAACTGCTGGGAATGAAATACTCCACTAGCAGGAAGACTATTGATTATTTCTGAAGCCCAGACTGTTGCAACCGTCCAAAACGCAGAGATCAATGCTCTATTTCCCAGCTGTTTCTCTAGCTCTCACTAAGACCCCGTCCCACGGCTCTTCCCCCTCCTCTCACACTCCTTCCCTTCGTGCCTGCGGGGCTGGACACGCGTGGGAGAGCTGCACCCTGTGCCTGCTGCTCCCGTGTGAGTGCCGGCAGCTGCCTTGCTCCCATGGATCCTTCCCGCCCCTGATTCCGGAGCAGCTCGGATTCCTCTGCCGGGGGAGCGACACCAAAGCTTCCCAGGTGACACCAGAGATGCCCCAGGACAGCCAATCTTAGCGTAGACTCTTTTCTTCCTTTCCCAAATTTTCCTTTGCGTGCTGTGGGTGCTKGGATAACCATCCCATGCTTCATCTGTGAAAGCAGGAACATTATTTAATTCCTGAGTCATGCCATCGCTCCTGACAGGTGCAGGGGGCTTCTTGGTCGGCTGGTTGAATCCCAGGAACAACACACAGGACAAAGAGTGGAGGGGATGAAGTTGCCAAGCTCCTCAGTCTCTCTTGGATGTGTAGTGTAGTGACCAAATTACAGCCTTTCTGCCCCCAAAACTGCTCAGGTCTGCTTTGGCCAGAGTTAAATACCAAGAGCACATTGCTCTGAGAATTACTGYGACACAGGTTTTTTATTTTTCACCAATACTCACACAAGCAGAATCACAGCAACAGCGGATTGGGGTTATCCCACATTAGAATAGATGGTTTTGCCTTTTCTGGGACTTTYTGCTTAATTTTTCTTGCCTTGGGGGTTGTGTAATATCTCCTCCAAACAGTCCTCTGCAAGGTGAGTGGACCCAGGAGATGTTTACTGACTCCTTACTCTAAGGACCAAAGAACTTTAATTTAACTAAGTCCTAGGTGGAAATGGAAGTGCCTGCATGGGAAAGGGATCACCTGCAACATGTAGGAATTCAGAATGGTTTTTCTCTGATTAAAAGCTGCTATAAAAATTTGGTTTTCAGCTTCCTTTTGGAAAAGACCCCAAATTTTTCTGAGTTAGTCTAACTGAGACTAGTCTCTAAAATGAGCAGAGAAGAACAATGCCCTTTTCCTCCAGTAAAACTCAGCAGAGGCAGTGGCTTGCAATGAATTGTGTAGCTACAAGGCTTAGCTCCATTTCACTGCTTGCAGAGTATTTGCAAGCAGATCTCAATTTCCTCTAATTAATCCACTATTTTAAATTATTATTTATAGGATCCTGTTAGTGCTCTTGGCCAGTGGTAACTTTTGGCAGGTGGGACTCATGTCTGAAAGGRAGCACAGATGGACAATGCAGAAGCTCCTCATTCAGTGCTTTCTTCCCACACAGAGGAGATGGGGATGAACAATTCCTGTCCCCATCCAGCCCTGCTTGGCTGTGGGTACCATTTCCATAAATAATAAAAAAAGAGCATMCAGTGTGGATTTTAATGTGAGGCTGGGGCAGGCGAGTGATTTAATTTAGAAAAACACCTCCAGGGACGGGGCAGATTGTCCAGTGCTTGGTATCCTCGGATGGCCTTTCTGGAAAGGACGTGGGAGCCAAGCAGAAGCCATCGAGCCACCTCTGGTGCTGATTTCTGCAGTGTAATAGTGGCTGGCAGCACRCTGGGGTCTGCACAGACCATCTAATGATTCTTTCTGGACTTCAACATGATGAATCTATAAAGCATGTATTGCTGTAGCAGCTAGGTGCAATTTTAGAAATGTTAATGAGTAATTACATAAAGGTTGTC